CATCCAGCGATGAACACCAGGTTCAGATTCAGGTGGAGCGCTGGAGAGACAACAAGCACCATGTTTTAACTTGATCTGGTCCAAAGTGGCTCAAACAAGTGAAGTGTGCTGGTAACAAATAACCTTTCTCTGGTTTCATACCTGAGCTTTCGCTGCTCTCCGCTGATCTCTTTAAGCGCAGGGGACCCTGGGAAACGAAGTGCCTGGCACTCTCCACGCGAACCTCTCTCTTTCTGCGGTGGTGGTTTTGAGGCCAAGTGGCTGGCGTTGTGGAGCTGATGCATCCCTGAGAGGACCTGGTGTTGGGTTCCCCTGCTGCACACATCAGGACTGTGCAGCTGATGTACACCTGAATGAAACAGAACACGCTGTCATCACACCAGCAGACGGACCGACAGCAGAGCTGTGGTCAGATCCAGTTAAAACCTCCGCTCCACTTTGCATCTCCACGACAGTCAGTGACGTCCACCTCGTCCTCAAGTCCATCCGTGTCAAGTGGTGCCAGTTTATTTCTTAAAACCTCATCAGCGCTGAGTTTATTAGAGATGCAGTTTTTCTGTCATGATCGTTAGACATCAGATTCACAAAGTGAAGCCACAGGTTGTAACAACCAGTCAAGTTCATAATAACCACATTCAAAAATGAATTTAAAATGAAATACAATGTTGTTCTATAAAAGGTGAGTTGGGAAACATAGATTGAGTTTCACAAAATATGTCAAAAATTACATGTTTTTTTTGACAAATTGCTTTTCTTGAATTGCTCGACTAATGTTTATTGAAAAAAAGTCTATTTTATTTAGTATTCTACAAAGTCTGACATTATTACGTTCAAATATGTTTTGTTTTTGATCAATTATTGATGTGATAAGCGTCTCAGGTGTTTTCAGAGATTTGCTTCTCTCTGATTGGTTGTTACGACCTGTGGCTTCAGTACAAACATGTGTTGCTTCACATTGTGTGTTATACCTGATGAAGATCCATGACGGAAACACTGTGCCTCTAATAAAGTTCACATGACTGCACCTGTCCACCAAGTGTGCATTGATTACCACTTAGTACAACTAGTCAGATAAATGAAAGGACGTCATGAACTGGACCTATTCGTTGAAGCATTTACAGATTTCCCAGAGACATCAACAGTCCTCTGCTCCGTTCTTTACCTGATCATACATGCCGATGAACTTGAAGGCCTTCATGCTGAACCTGAATTGTCTCGGGTGGGAGGGGGAATGGATCTGAACGGTCGGGTCCTCTTTACACCTAGTCAGAGCAAAACACAACAAAAATATGAGACATGTTGCCTTTGTTACTCTGTGCCTTACAGTGGATGCTGCTATAGGGGCAGAGGTATTGTTCTATTGGTATTCACACAATAAGAAAAGTACTATAGGTTATACAAAAGATGAAGTGAGTGAAGCATTGACTTCTACATCCTGACAGGGTGACATTACACAGAAGAGCCTCTAAAGCAACAATCAAAGAACTAGTCTTTACAAATGCTCTGTTATGCCCTCTATTGCCACTAGGGGGTGTGTCCATGCCTACCCATTCTCAATGATGGAGTAGGTCTGCTGGGAGTTCTGGTTGTCATATGGTGAAGCTCTGCAGGACTCCACAAACAGCACGGTGTTGTTGACGGAGGAGGTGGCCTCTATCTGCATGTAGACCCTGCTCCCTATTTCATACACCACCGGGTATGAAGTTGGATCAACCATGGCTTGGTATTGGTCGTTAGCATAGAACTCAAACTGGTAGGTGAACCTGCCGAAGCCCCTGTCCCACACTGAGACGATGGGCCTGTGTGCTGTGAAGGCCAGTGTCGCGTTTCCACGTTTGGGGTACTGGCAGTAGAACTGCACCTCCAGCAGGTGTTTCCTGGTGATCACGTCGGCTCTGTTGTCAAACGTGGTGATTTCATTCTTGAACCTGAGGTTATCCCCGTCTTCCTGCAGTGAAGAAAGGTTATGTATTCAGTCCTCATACTGCTAGATAAAGGCAACACCAACGACTGAGAGAGAAGAGCAGCCGGTAACACAAGCCTGCGTTACCTCGAGCTCAGTGCCACAACCGCTGAGGGGGATGTCGGCGAAGACGTAAGTGCTGTTGGAGTGCAGCCTGCAGGCGGTGTTGGCGCCGTCGTTGAGCCGCAAATGATCCTCATGGAGTCCATGGAATGAAGATTTCTCAACCTCTACTCTCATCGTGGACTCGGTGCAGATCACATGGGAATCAACTAGAAGAAGAGAGTGTTAGAAAATACACATTATATACCAATGGTGTACTTATTTACAGGGGGCAGTAATGCCAACAAGAACTTCAGCAACGTTCCAGCAGACAAAGACTGCGAGCTGATAAACATTGATGTGAACAGTTCATGATTTAAAATACTTTGTTTGAGGAAGGAAAGGCTCCCAAGGCCACGATACACACAATGTGTTCTAATGAATGTAAACATGGTATTTGTTTGTATACTAGGAAACTCCACAGGACACCTTTAGGTTGTGTTTCCATCAAAAAGAAAGTTTCTTTACAGTCCTGCTGGTTTGGTTTCACTGTGTATGAACAGTGAACGTGGTATTTTTGTGTAGAATGTTTTGCGTCCAATGACGGCTCTGAATTTTGTCTGGTAGGAAGGTTCAACCAATCACAGCACTTTATAGAAGTGCACGTCTCATGGCTTTTTAACCTCTAATGTACGCCAGCCATGCAGACAACATTTGGCTCTTTAACTGAGTATTTAGCGTGTGATATATTTGGTGAAAATACACACCATTACAGCTGTACTGAAACAACTAAATGTTGAGATTAAAGTAGACTCACCTGCCACCTTCCGAACTTCTACCAGAACACACCTCATCTCGGACTGATAGACGCCGGACCTGAGGAGCATCGGTGAACGCTGATTTAATGCCTGTTACTCTTTCAGTTAGGCCGATATGTCGTGTTCAAATTATTACTGGTGGTTTTGGCTCCTAATTGATGAATCTCTACCTTGTTGCTTAAAAACACCAAACACAGAGAAATGTCACTCACTGTGGAGATGGGGTGTCGTGGTGACTGTAATGGTGTGTGATGGCGGTTCCAGCAGACCTGTGTTACATGTGTTACAAAGTCAAATCATGGCTTCACACACACGTACAAATTCTCTCACAAGGAAGCCAAAGCTTACCTGGTCACTGCTTCAACAGCAAAGCAGATCGGGAAAAACTCCCCCAGGTCATGTTGGATAGGCGTCCACCTGATGACGAACTCCCCATGTGTGTTCCTTTGCTTGGTGATGTTCAGTGGGCCGCTGATGATGATGTCATGTATTCTGTGTGATAACAAAGCAAAGAAAGCAGAGATTTATTGCCTCTTTCCTCTCTGATGTTATCTCACGCGCCTCAGGGCAACACCGGTCACGTCGGCTCTCACTCACGTTGCGTGTGACGCTCGTGCTCTGACTCTGATCTCCACTTCTCTGTCGACCTCTGCATAGAGGCGGGCTCCGTTTAAAGGTGTCGGGACCAAAAACTCTGGCAAGTAGAGTCCCTCCTGACACGAGGGAGCAGCTGGGTCCACTGGAGTTAAAAGATAGAAGATTCATTTGAGTTCCAAAGTGCAATAAGTAAGTTCTACTTAAAAACCGACACTTTGCTGCTGTCTGTGGATCACAACTTCAAAGCTGCCTCAGCAAGTGTCGCTGATTTCTATCAAAGACAAATGGTCTGCTGGCTGTAGCTGTTCATGTTCCTCATGAAAAGAGTTGAAAGAGACATGTTTTTACAGGACAGAGACGTTCAATGTGGGAAACTAAATTCACAGGCAATATAATAGTATTTAGTATTTAGTAGTGGATAAATAAAATGTTAAAAATCGAATGTGTAACCATCAAGTGTAACATCTCATTAAAGTGTTGCCGGAGCTGCAACATGAAGCACTGCAGCAACTGTTTTTTTTTCAATGAAAATTCTGTCACACAATAAAAAATAACTCACCAAGAAAGGAGAACTGCAAAGGCAGTTTACTGAGTGGAGGAGGTGTTGGTGTTGTTGCTGCTGTGGTTGTTCGTGGTGGGATTGTGATTGCGATTGTAGTCGTGAAGGCTGCTGTGCTCCCCCACACACTGCGGGCATGTCTCTTACTGCTCCCAACCAGTGGGGCCTTGTAGGATCGGGATCCATCAGTGTAGCCCAGAGTGATGTGCTTTTGCGGGAAGTCCTCCACCACCATCTCAAATCCATAAACTCTGGGGTTGGCAGTGGATCGTCGGTAGTGTAATGTGCAAGAGTCCTGACGATGTGAACATTTTGAAGTTAAGTCAAGCAAAGCATCAGTGAAGTATTGAACAATGTATTAGGAAATTGAGTTTTCAACTAACCTGATCTAAGGTGAAGCCTGAAGGTTGGTGACATGAGCTACACTCTACATTTCTGATATTTCCATATCTGCATCGAACTCTGTCTCCATCAGGATC